ACGGTTCAGTGGTTTTGATGGGTTTCCCTAACATTTCCCTTCACTGCTCTGCTCCTATTGATCGTAGCGTGATGAAAAGTATACTATAACCTGCCCAGGACTATGTAGAATATTTGTACCAAGTTTCGTTAACTTGGTACAATTTTTTGTTTCTATAACGAACATACAGACAGACAAAAATTTTACTGATTGCATTTTTGGCATCAGTATCGATCACACACCTCCTGATAGTTATTTTGAAAATATATTTAATGTACAGAATTGACCTCTCTACATATATATATATATGATTATATAGAAGATATGATATACAATATGATACGATATGATGACTACTGACAAGAAACTCAGCTCTATGATATCATTACATAGTATAAAACAAAGTCGCTGTCGCTGTCTGTCCGTCTCTATGTATGTTTAAATCTTTAAAACTACGCAACGGATTTTGAAGCGGTGTTTTTAGTAAATAGAATGATTCAAGAGGAGGTTTATATGTATAATACATGTACACCCATGCGGAGCCGGGGCGAGTAGCTAGTTATATGCTATAATAAGCTGAGTTTCTCGTCAGTTCTTCTCATCTCGAAATACTCCGAACTGATGGTAGATTTGACGTATCATAAGAGTCTGTAATAGATCTACGTGAATAAAGATATTTTGAATTTGAATATCCTGTCTTAAGTTAATTCACACAGCGCCATCTAGTCCCAAGCTAAGCAGAGCTTGTGATATAGGTACTAGACAACTGATAAATATTTAGATACATTTTTTTATAAATACGTACATAATATAGATAGAAAATACCTAGACCGATACAAACAATCATACTTATTAATTTGTATTCATCAATATGATTGTTGATATGAGGATTCGAACCCGAGACCGTAAGCAAAGCGGAGTGCTAAACTGCTATACTACCGAGGCCGTCAGTTAATGAAATTGAATATATAAATGCGTTCTGTTAAATTTTGTTTGTAAATAAATTATTGATTCTGCAGTATGTATATATATATGTATACTCATAAGATGTGTACATATGCAAGAGTTAACCTCTATAATCAGATTTCTGTTGTTAAAGAATTATGCTTGTATTTAAAATTTAAAATACTACAAGTCTGTTATTTAAGTAATCGTTAAGTTGAATTGTGTTAGTTATAGAATTTTATTAGAGACAGAAGCGTACGGGAGCCCTTAGTCCTATATAATATTTCATAAAATGCTTCATAAAACCGCGTGGCCTATATGCATAGGCACGTTTCACCTGCCATGGATACGCTTAGGGTCGGAGCAGACTGCTAGCGGTGTTTGTTTTGCATCAAAATGATAAATTAACGGGCATAGGGTCAATTTGCTAATGCCATTATATAAACTGTATATTCTAATTTCAAAAGCTGTGACGACAATTATATATTTGAAAAAAAAAAATCTAATATGTAAACACTACCGAAGACAATGGCTGTACAGGCCGAGTCCTTTTGCCTTTCCCCGAAACGGAAAAAAAACAAAAGCTGTTCCATTTTTAAATCTATTCAGTTTGTTTTAGAACAACATGATAAATGAACCGTTATTGAGTCAATTTTCTTTTTTTCTGAGCACACACAAATTAAGACTACGTTTTATAAGAGTTGGCATCGCCATTACGAAAATTGAATCTATTTAAGAAAATGCTTCTTAGTAGTCTTTTCTACAAGAAATATTTAAACAATGTTTGCACAAAAATGTTTTGTATTAATTAAGGTTGTATACAAAACTTTTAAAATGTACGCAAACATACTTGTAAATATGCCATATACAAGAAAATGTTTCACGCATTCTTTTTCAACTGGCTCCGGTGATTAGTGTTGGTATTTACTAGTTTTTTCTTATATAAAGCGGAAAAATCAAGGCGTATTAAAAAAGTAAGTACAGGATTACAGGATCCAGGAGAGTTGGAATTGGTTAGGAAGATGTTTCGCAGATTAAAATGAAAATTATTCTCATACTAGTGACGTAAGTCTGCTTAAGAATGAAATTAAATGAATAACTTTGAAATTGGAATGAAATTGAAATTAAGTGAATAGTACATATTCCAAATTCAAAATTTGTATAATTTCTTAGTTCAAAATATTAATGTAATTTTGTTCATTATAATTTCAAAAGACATTCTATTTTTAAATAACTAATGTTTATTATGCATAATAATGAATCATTTGGTTATATTATCTAGCATTGTATAGAATAAACATTCTGGCCATAAATATGGTCGTATTATAAAAAGATAGTATTCCCACGTTTTAGAAAATTTGAATTTCGAACATAATCGTGAAACACTCAAATTGTATTTTAAGTTTAGCGGTAATTGTTAAATATTTTAATACTTGTGATTACTTGCTCAGTGATTGTTAATATTAAAATGTAAAATTATATTTTATTAATTAACATTTATATTTAGTTGTATATTACGCCATCATATCCTGGAGTTAGGAGATAGGCAGTATCTCTGGGATGCAGATGAATAAGGTTTCCAATAGGAGGCCGCTCTACATGACAGCATCACAGAATATATTCGCTTAGAGTCCTGGGACTGATCGCAAATGTTCTCAGAGAAAAGAATAGAATAGAATAGAATAGAAGATCATTTATTCAAATAAACTTAATTTAAGCATTTTGTTTAAGCAATAGTCATAACAATTTGTTTTTTATCTACCACTCGTTCGGAAAGCTGTCTCATCACAAGCAGAACGAGCTTTTAAATAATCCTTGTAAGTTTACATTTGTGTGTACCAACCAACACTATTTTTTTGGGTCAAATATGCAATAAAAAAGTTGTATATTGAAAGTTTGTTTAAATAATTTTAATTATTTTCAGTAACTTCTCTTTCCTAAACTTGTCTGGAAATGATTCCATTAGCCATACAACCGCCTATTATACCTGATTTTTTCATATTTTTTATTGTCTATTATAAATATTGGTGCAATACAGCATTATAAATAAATAAATATAGCTAAATAAATAAATTACATTGTAATATAGTTTAAATTTCATAATAGAATAGAAGAGTGCCCTTAATAGAATAAACGACAAAAGATTGCAATATCAATTTAGGAGTGATATGAAAACATTGTATTGTGCAGGGCGACAAGAAAATTACAGCCACAAAGAAACAATTTATGATATTAGAACTTCAGTCAAATACACTCAATCCAATTAGAACTATGTACGGTCAGTAAAACAATAAGAGGTATAAACTTACTAATATTATAAACATGAAAGTTTGTGAGTATGGATGGATGTTTATTTATTTATGTATTCATTCATTCATTCATTCATTCATTCATTCATTCATTCATTTATTCATTCATCATTCATACATCATTTATTCATTTATTCATTCATCCATCATGCTTTCATTCATTCATTCCTTCATTCATTCATCAGAGCACAATGGACCCTGATGGGCGCAGCAAGCTACAATGAGATACAGTGGCGTTAACAGATTTTAATTATTTTATATATTATTTTTCTGATCGATCTGTATACATGACCTGACTTTATAATTTATCTGTCAAATATTCGTTGACATTGTAATAATTTTTTACATGTAATTTTTTTAGGTTATGTATAATGTTGGATGGTTGTTACTCATGATGTAAGCAGAGTAACATTACATTTTTTTTTAATTTCTAATATTTCTCGTTCATTATTTCAGTATCCATAGAGCGACTTGTCATACAGGGTAGAGTTGATGGTACTAGACCCCTTGGACGATCACCCATGCGATGGACCGACCAAATCAAAGCAGCAATAGGCGGTCCACTCCACGAGTGTACCAGAATGGCAGACAGTAGACACAAATGGCGAGCAGTCTTGCGGCGGATGATATCAGCCCACCCATCCCACTACATAATGACCACGATCGAATGAGAAGAAGAAGAATTTCAGTAATATAATATTCTCTAACCTTTTTTTTTATTTCTAAATTTTCGCAATCAGTCCGACTTTTGTTTAACACGAATAATTTTATGGTAAATTGAGGTTTTTACCTCTCTTGATATTTAGACTAAGCTGCACTAACCGTGGTCACGAGCCGACTGAGTCTGCTTTTTTTTATAGCACAGGGGACAAACAAGTCAGCAGATTATCTGATGGTAAGTGATTGTTATCGCCTATGAGCAACCGCAACACCAGGGCAAGTGCTTTGCCGACCATTTAAGAAGGAATAACATATTTTCTTGAAGGTATCGGTTCAGAAATACTATTGCTGGAAGGTGATTCCACAATGTGGTTGTGCAAAGCAAAACAAAAAAGAAAGAAAGAAAAGAGATAAATATATTAATTTGGCGCATACAAAATATTTATATCAAAACTTATAACAAGTAAAATAATGAATATATTTCAAAACAAAATTAATTATTATTTAAAAAAATACAGCTGCGACCAAACTGGTACGCAGCTTTATGTCTAGGCTGTAATACCCAAACACTAATTTTCAGTGGAACCATTTATTAATTAACTAACTTTTGCCCGCGGCATCTCTCGCGTTAATTTATCCAATTGTGGAATTTATCAAAATCCTTTCTTAGGGGATGCCTACGTTATAGTAGCTTTATGCATGCAAAGTCTCAGCCCGATCGGTTTAAAATTGACAAAGTTCCATACAAACTTTGATCCCCTATTTTATCCCCTCGGGGGTAGAATTAATCAAAATACTTTCTTAGCTTTAATACTTACCTGCCAAATTTCAGCCCGATCCATCCAATGGTTTGGGCTGTGCGTTGATAGATCACTGTGTCAGTCAGTCACCTTTGAGTTATATATATTTAGATTTAAAATATATAAATTGTTTACCGTTGCCTGCGTGAACATGCGCTGCTGGTGATACTTCTGATACGGTGTAAAAACTATCCATGGAAATTTTGCAAACAAATATTCTGACCGTACAACTGCGTACAATTCCGCACAAATATAAAAATGTAGTGCAAAACTGCTCCATTCATTTCGAGTCAATATTGCTTGCAGTATGAAGTGCACGATTGGATTAATATTCCTATTTCTACCAATTGTCCTAAGTCTGGATGACATGGACATGAAGTTTACTGTAAACTATTTCAAAATGAGATATATCAAAACATTATGTCTATTGGATTGCAAAAACAATACATGTAAGATCTTCATATTATTATTTTTTTATATTAATGAGACTTGGTCTTACTTCATCTGATGGTAAATGATGGCAAGACCTAAGATGTAGCGGCGCTTACCCATAAGAAATTTATTCACTATACACTTGAAAAATCCGGGGTCGAATTTCTCTGGAAACACAAAAGTTAGAAGTGTGTTCTGCTCTTTGGATTTTCTGTTTCGGATATGCAAAATAAACAACATTCGAAATCTTTTAAAAAAATTTACACAGTCAGTTGAAATTGCAGAATAAAATTTTCAAATAATATTCAAAATATTCATTATATATTCAAAATATCTTTATTCATGTAGGTCTATTACAGACTCTTATGAAATGTCAAATCTACCAATCAGTTCGGAATGATTTCGAGATGAGAAGAACTGACAAGAAACTCAGCTCGTATTCTTTTCAAATTAATATTATATATGTTTACTATAATACAGATTAATTTTTAAATTCAAACTTGGGAGAATAGAGTGATAATTTGAAACAATACTCATGAATATAAATGGCTGTCGCGTACGAGGACTCGAACTTACGACCATCAGTAGTAGGACCGTCAAATATAAACAAATTACCTTCTGTTTCAGGGAGCAAGAAATTGACGAAATATGCTAACGCACAGATGATTTCAGTATTGAATGTACAAATAGGCAAAACATTGAATTACGGCTTTATAGATGTTTGCTTAGAACAAAGGCTGCCTTCGATTGGAGTGTTCATAGACACGAATTGTGCACTCTATGAAAACATACTTGTCTATGTAAGTTAGTTGAAAATATATTTAGTAGGAATATATTCGTGACTCGATGGTCTAGTGCATTAGTACATTGTTTTAGTCCCCATGTTCTAAAGTTCGATTTTTCACACGGTATAAATATTTGTATTTATGAGTATGATTATTTGTATCATTCTGGGTGTTTTCTAAGTATTTACAAGTAAATATATTTCAGTAGTTAGTTATCTAGTACCCATAATAAAAGCTCTGCTTAGCTTGGGACTAGATGGCGCTGTGTAAATTGTCTTGAGATATTATTAAAATACAAATAGACAAAACATTGAATTACGGCTTTGTAGATGTTTGCTTAGAACAAAGGCTGCCTTCGATTGGAGTGTTCATAGACACGAGTTGTGCGCTCTATGAAAACATACTTGTCTATGTAAGTTAGTGGAAAATATATCTAGTATATTCGAGACTCGATAGTCTAGTGGATTAGCATACCGCTTTACTTTCGATGTTCTAAAGTTCGATTCTTCGCATGGTATAAATACTTGTATTTATAACTATAATTGTTTGTATCATTCTAGATGTTTTCTCTCTTATATGTATTTACGAGTAAATGTATTTAAGTAATCAGATGTCTAGTACTCATAATAAAAGCTCTGCTTAGTTAGCAACTAGATGGCGCTGTGTGAATTGTCCTGAGATATTATTAAAGTACAAACAGACAAAATATTGAATTACGGCTTTATAGATGTTTGCTTAGAACAAAGGCTGCCTTCGATTGGAGTGTTCATAGACACGAGTTGTGCGCTCTATGAAAACATACTTGTCTATGTAAGTTAGCTGAAAATATATCTAGTATATTCGAGACTCGATGGTCTAGTGGATTAGCATACCGCTTTACTTTCGATGTTCTAAAGTTCGATTCTTCGCATGGTATAAATACTACTCGTATATGTATTTGTACGAGTAAATGTATTTAAGTAATCAGATACTCATAATAAAAGCTCTGCTTAGTTAGCAACTAGATGGTGTTCTGTGAATTGTCCTGAGATATTATTAAAGTACAAACAGACAAAACATTGAATTACGGCTTTGTAGATGTTTGCTTAGAACAAAGGCTGCCTTCGATTGGAGTGTTCATAGACACGAGTTGTGCGCTCTATGAAAATTTACTTGTCTATGTAAGTTAGCTGAAAATATAATACAGTTATGCTTAGTAGAATTGACAGCCTCGGTGGTCTAGTTGATTAGTACACCGGTTTACTTTCGATAGTCGCAAGTTTCATTCCATGCACGATGCAAATATTTGTACTTATGAGTTTGTGTGTATCGGTCTGGGTGTTTTATATGTATTTACTAATTGATTACAACAATTATTTGAATTATTATCTTTACATAGCATAAAATAAAGTCACTTCCTGTCTGTTCGTTTAGACCTTACACAACGAATTTTAATGCAGTTTTTAGCAAAAGAAAGAGAGATTCTAGAGGAAGGTTTATATGTATAATACGTGAACACCCGAGTGATGCAGTAGCGGGTAGCTAGTTATAATATAAATAAATGAAATAGCAAAGTTCATAAACTTAATTTTTCAGGCATCTGAAAATACACGTTTCGACTCGCGACACAAATGGCTTTTAATTGATCATAACAAGAATAGTTCCAGTTTAGAAATAAATGACGATATTCTGGAAGCTCTTAATCATCTGAATTTAAGCCTGAATGCTGATATTGTAATTGGAAAATCTATGGGTAACATAGTTTTTTTAATAGCGCCTTCATATTTGATGAATGATGTTGATATATTACCTATATTTTATAATAAATTGCACTACATATTAGCATTGTTAATAATAACATTATTATTATAATTATAGTTCATTTTATTATTTATTTATTATATTATTATTATCTATAAAATATTCGTCATTTCATTTTATATTATGTATTATATAAAATGAAATGACGTTTGTTAGTCTCGCTAAAACTCAACACGGCTAGACAATTTTTGCAAATTTTGGTTTTGAAATATATAATCTGAAATGTATAACTCTAAAGCAGGCAATGCAATGCAATTTCTAAATATTTACTCACCACTTAAAGTGAGTAAGCATTTAGAAATTGCATGGGAAATATTAAAAACAACAATCTTATTTTCCTATATAAACTGTTCATACCTGCCAAACAGGATCCGTTCAGAAATTTATTGCGTAAATAAATTTCAAAAACTCTTTGACATATATGGGACACAGTCACCTAGATAGATCAAAATAATAATTGCATTTAATAATGTCTAGTAAGACAAATTCAATATTGTCTACTAATCACTGCTGTGTCTAAACTGTGTCACCCCACCTTACATTTTCCTATTGTTATTTAGTATATAAGATCATTATTTCTGTGTACACATTGTCAGTTTATTATCATCTGTAATATACATCGTCTCGACCAACAACATCGTATCATTCACCTGCAACAACATATTATTTAATTCTAAAGTGTACCTGAGTTCGCGGGGGTGATAATAGAATGGTGCATCCACCTGCGCTAACGGTATACGCTGGCTGAGCACCAGTGGAGAATAATAAGATGAATAAGGTCAGGTCAGTTAGCCCAATATAAAATGTGGCACGGTCAGGTCAACTAGTAACATCTAAAATTAATCTATTTGAATTGAATAGTCCATAAAATATAGATTGTACGAATAAGTCATAAGCAATCATATTACAACGGTAATAGAATATTAAAATATAGAAATTACAATAATATTCGTACATTTTCTTTTAATATAATAACTCCTTGTGATCCCGTCAATGTCTTGAATTATTGAATACTACTGAGACCTTTGCTACATTGCTATACTCAAATTATATAATGGAAATAATATTTTCTTTATTTCCTTATCTTCCTTTCTTTATCTTCATATTTCATTACATATAATAATATTGTAAAATTACACAACCATATTGTATCATCCTCCATTACGTAAAGAATACGATATTAAAACCTTCAACAAAAGATCTTATTCCTTCTTAAAAGACCGACAACTTCGCCTGGTATTACGGGTGCTCATGGGCGGCGATAAACATTTACCATCAGGTAGGCCGCAAGTTTGTTTGTCCCGTGTACTATAAAAAAATCGTAATGACTTAAAAGCTATACGTTTCGTCATTGCCTTGCCTTTATCCCATTATTTGTGGTCGGTGCAGTATGTCATTCTCTTCAACTAATCTCTATCGGCCGTCATATCTGAGCATACTCTCTTTCATATCATCTTTCACACAATCCATCCATCTTTTTTAGGGGGTCCTCTCCCTTTCCATCCATCCACGTTCATATTATACACTTTCCTTAAGACATGATCCTCGCATAACATGCCAATACCAGCTCAATCTGTTACCTCGCAACTGGCGCAACCTGCAAAATTCTTCGTACAGCATCTAAAAGTAACAAAATAATACAAATACATTAAGTAATAGTAAGACAAAATAACATATCTGTCTACTTACCGCTAAAACCACGGGTGGAATTTTGCAAAATATTTACTTAAATATGGTAGATCCATGTACGATAAGGAAGGCTTAGTAAACATAATAAGTATAAGAGAAATATTAATATTAAATATAATAAAATATAGCAATATATTATATAGGTAACTACCTTTTAATAAAATACCTACGCGTATTGATTAAAAATCGCTTCCACCGTATCTCCGCTTGATTATCAACAAAGAACCTCGCAAAAAAACCGATGAAGCGAAAAAATCCCTGTACCGTAAGAAAAACAGTGGAAAGTGTACGCTTCAAAAGAAATTGAAGTCGAATTTGGAAACTGTCAAAAGATGGCTCGATTTGGCATATACAAGGAATGGTAAACAATCCGACATCCATCTGATGGTAATTGGTAAACGTCGCGTATAAGCTTGAAAAATATCGTATGACGTACCCTCCGATCGATCCCCGTCCAATAAAAACGGGGATCGAAATTACGATGTTCTGAGCCGAGATTCAAACTAGGAGTGCCCTCAGATCGCCGCATCCGTCAGGCGGGAGTTCGCCTTCAACTGCTCCATAAGTCCTTCCGCGCGTTTGGAGTGCCATCTGCACTCGTCCAACAGTATTAGAGTAGTCCGAAAAAAAAACATGTGACGTCCTTATTACCTTTCGTGTTTTGTTATTCCGGGGGAATAAGATTTTATGTCCTTACCCTGTAATTTAACTGCTTTACCTCACTACTAGCTGTGCCCGCGACTTCGTTCGCGTGGTTATCAAAAACACTATCGCGATTATCTTTGGAAGCCCTCAAATATAAATAACTTTCCCCGTTTTTGCAACTTATTTCACAGATTCTTCGCTTCTAGTAGTCGTAGCGTAATATTATATAGATTGAAACGTTTCTTGACAAATGGACTATCCAACACACAAAAAATTCAATTCGAGCTAGCAGTTCTTGAGATTAGCGCGTTCAAACAAACAAACTCTTCAGCTTTTTAATATTAGTATAGATTCGATCGAATCAGCATTCAAAGCCTCTTGACGGCTTAAGTAGGTAGGCAGATATACCCACGCAGTGGATTTTAAAGTTACAAATATTTTATGTATAATATGTATGCATTTACAGAAAAAAATGTAAAATGTAGAAAAAATATTTGTATCAGTTGTCTAGTATTCATAAAACAACCTCTTCTTTGCTTGGGACTAGATGACGCTGTGTGAATTATTCATCATTCATTGTAATATTGATGACGCTGTGTGAATTGTTCAGGTATATTATTAATATAACTTATTGTGGTATTTATTTTATGTACTATATTATAATATTAATGGTATTATTTTATGTAAATAAATTTAATGGAACTTTGTTTTAGGATCTACCGTGTACAAACTCTATGATATTTATAATTTCGGAAAACTGCAAGGCGGTGAGTTAATAGCAGACGAGCTTGGAACCTGGTACATATATTCAGGTATATAAACGAAATATATCCTTTGGAAAGTACACACTCTATCATAAGGAGATAAAACCATCACTCCTAAGAATATCCTTCAATTCTTGTCCCTGATGGACCTAGGCAGCGAACTCTAAAAAAAGGGCGACACAATTGATCTATACAGGACGCAGTGCTGCAGGTTTAAGCAACAAGTAAAGCCAAACTCCTTAATAAAACATTATTTCAGTCTATATGCAATATTTATTTATATATATACTGTTTTAAACTTGACGCGGTCATTATTTATACGTATAATTAATAAAAATCACTCACAGAGTTCATTTTATAGGTATTTATTTGCTGAGTTGAAACTGGTCAGTTTACCCGTGATCATGGTGGTTGAAACACTACCGAAATATCGGGAACTCAGCAAATAAATATAAAACCTGGTAAGATCCCGTGATTTTAATTTATATGTGCCCAAAATATTAGGTGTTATGCAGACAGAAAAAACTGTTACGGTAGCCGACTGTACATTTATATGTAATCCTTTTATTAAGCTACTTACCTAACTATAAGTCATTATTACTGACTTTAAATTAGATAATTACCGCGGCGGCCAGGTGGCTTGGTATAGTTTTTTTATTGTAGATTTTGTAGAAATGAGAAAAATTTGTAACATTACTATGTTGCTTTATTAACAATTAAGAACCCCCCCATTTTTGCTCGGGTATTTCATTATACAACCCTTTTTTTTTAACAAGGGGAAATACGTTATGGAGTCCCGCACGCCCCAGGGGAGATATACTGGTACTGCCGGTCTCCTACCGGCTAAAACCCCTTGGTGTCCTCCGCTATCTGTTAGCGCCAGGGTCACGGGATCGACATAACAGTCCACCGTGACCCCGGCAGCGCAGACTCTGCAGCCTCCTCCTCCTCGTCTAGGACGTGCGCTGACACCACGCGCGGCTACTCCCGGCCTCACCCTTCTTAGGTGACGGCAGACGGCCCCACGTCTGCCGCCGTGAGGCATGTGCACATTTAATGTACACAACCCTAATGAATTATACACCTTTCTCAAAGGTTACTCTGTTGCTGGATAAAAGCTGCATGAAAATTCTCTCAGTAGTTTTGACATTATTACAAATAGATGGAGCGGTGGACTTTGTTTTGTATGTATAGATATTATATTTATTTATTTTAGTATAGTTAAATTAATAATAAAAACTTGATAGATAGATAGATAGATAAGTTCTTTATTCAACAATTACAAACCCATAGCATACATGAGATACATTTTATAAATAGAAATAAAGTTTACAAATTCAACAATACTGAAATATAATATTACAAAATAAAATAAAAATGGAGGTGGCTTTATGTGTCGCAATGATGAAGAGGCAACTCAGCATGAAGCTACAGATAAGTCTGCAGCGCTGATATTCTGTTGGCTTCTGTAATTAAATACATACTTACATACAGATGATTCTTGATCATAGTTTCTTTCAAAGGAGTACGGATAGATCGGCAAGGAAACCAGCACGGTTCTCTTCCTTAAGCATGCTACTTTTAATATAGCTAAATAAATCATTACATAATATAAAACAAAGTCGCTGTCGCTATTTGTCCGTATGGTTAAATCTTTAAAACCACACAACGAATTTTGAAGCTGTTTTTTTAATAGATAGAGTGATTCATGAAGAAGGTTTATATACAGCCAACCCTCCTATAACGCGGTACTCTCAGAACGCGGTTTCCATATAACGTGGAGCTGAAATTGCGACAGCCCTCCTATAACGCGGTACTCTTACAGCGCGGTTTCCGTTCAACAACGTCCCATCAGTTCTTTCCGTGCACCCAATGAATGGTTTTAACTGGATATGTTTATATCAGCGTGGTTCACGGGTGGGGCTCCTCATGCGCTATCTTCCACTTCTATTAACTAAATAGTTTCGCATCGACAGCGTGCCATGCGTGTGTGTGTCTAACGAAACTGTAACATGAAAGATATACATATATGATACATGTACACTCGGGCGAAGCTTTATTTATGTACTTTTTAGCTAGTAGATAATAATATAAACTTTATTTCAGGAGTTGATGACAAATTAAAAATAAACGACTATAAGTACTATCGCCGATGGAATTTCCAACAAATACCTTTGAAATTAATAACAGTGGTCAGTGTTTGCATGTAATTATATTATGTATGGTATTAGTAGTTTTATGGATGACTAACTGTTCCCGCGACTCCGTCCGCGTGGAATTTAACTGTATTTTTCTAAAATAAAAGTGGCCTAAGTTACTCCTTATTAAATCAGCTACCTGCCAAAAAAGTCCCGTCAAAATTCGTCCGGCCATTTCCGAGATTAGCCGTAACGAACAGGACAGACAAAAATAGTAAAAAATATTACTTTGGTGTATGTACCGTTTTTATATTCATATGCATGTAGTAAAAAACGGTTATTTCAATATTACAAACAGACACTCCAATTTTATTTCCTTCCATCATCAGCCAAGTGATGGTGGAAGTTCCAGGGTGGATATGAATAATAATCTGACTCCAATTTTAAATGATTATATTTTAAAAAGTAACAAATATATTTTATGCATACGTAGTGGATGTCGAAGAGGTTGTTCTAAGTGAAGATGTTATTACTATCATCATCATCATCATCATCATTATCATCTCAGCCTGAAAGACGTGCTGCTGAACGAAGGCCTCCCTCAAAGATCTCCACGATGATCGGTCATGCGCTGCTCGCATCCAGCCTTCCAGCGATCTTGACCAAATCGTCGGTCCACCTTGCCGGACGCCGGTTATTAGTGTGATAATTAAAAAATTTCTTATTATTAAACATTTCATCATTCATCCATTTTAGATGTCCAAACCTCCAAAAGAGTTTGATCCCAAAATAATAGCAGACACAAAACCAAACGCAAACATACCAGTTATTACGATAACTGGTAACATAATTCTGAATGTTATAGCTGAAATACACAATTTCAGGTACGTAAAGTTATCATTGTTATTATTTTTAATCAATTGATTCATTCCTATTAGTTTTACAATATCTACTAAAGCATAAAGTTGTTAAGTATGTTATTTAGAAATACATATAATCTTTATTCAAATAAACTCATTACAAGCATTTTGAATAGTCATATTTTGATTCTACCACTCATTTGGAATGCAGATTCATCACAAGAAGAATGAGCAAGAAACTTGTGTGTTGCTCTTTTTAATAGATGTTTTTTATATAAATAATTACAGTAAAACAAGTGAGAGGCATGCGATAATCAACATAGAAATCGATACGCACTCATTATTAGTGTAATCAGATAATATTGTCAGTGCTGTGGATTTTAAGTTTTTCTATAAAAACATTATTATCGTTAACGAATTCTTCAATTTTATAGTAAGCTTTTTTGCAAAGGAACTGTTTTATTTGACATTTAAATCTTTTTTCTGGCAGATTTATAACAGACTCTGGTATTTTATTGTAAAACCTTACGCAATTGCCATAAAACGAATTACTAACTTTAGCCAAACGATATTTAGGTAAAATCAATTTGTTATTGTTACGTAAGCTTTTATTGGTGGAATCACTAACTCTTTTGAAACTGTCTATATTCTTCCTGACTTATTTGTCTCTAATATCGGGCTACCAGTCGAATTTAGAAAATCCTTTTCGCAAAAGATTGTAGACCACTATTATGCCTATATAGACTAACATATATATGAAATAATAATATAAATATCAATTATCTCTGTAGTCACGGCATTGACAACGGACACCACGGTGCACCGATACATCACCCCCTTCAGACAGTAATCCTCCTTCATGAATCTGGACAGCATGTTGCTGGGGACCCGGGTTACATATACTTTGAAACTCGAGTTGTGGAATCGACTGCATCACCCTCAAAATAGAATAGGAGTATTATTTTAGTCGACCATGTCCAGCTCCTTATTACTTATCTAAACCATACATATAACCGTAAAAATTTAATTCTATCAACCATGCGGTTTTCACCTGCATCCAGTATTAATAGTAACAATGTATTTTATTTCCAGATTTATATACACAATAACCGACAGGTGGCTTGGTGATTTTAGCAGAAACAGCTCTAAGGTATTAAGAAACAAATTTCAATAAGCAACTACACTAGTTAGCAATTTGTTAATAGATTTATCATTATAATCATATTATAACCAGGGGCGGATCTATCTAAGGCCTTACGGCTTTGTGGATACAAGGGACCCTCAGGCCCCACTGTAAATAATATCCGATATTTTGAATTAAAAATAATCTGAAATATTAAAAAAATCTATCATAACATTGGCGACCCTGAGATCAATCTACTCAGGCAAGTTCACGTCTATAGAACGGAGAATTCCCAGTCGTTTGTTTTTGGTTATTGTTTTTTTTTTAGTTGAGTAATGTAATTGCCACATGGTGTTAAGTCCGCCAAATATACTTTACTATATATGTGTGCATTAAAGTTAAATAAAGAAAAAAATTATTAGGTAGGCCCGTAACTAGTTTTAACAAATTCACAATCCGCCCCTGATTAGAACGACTCAACATCATCCCACTATTGCGCACTCATCTCTCCATACACATCGCTGCAAATAATTAAAACTCTAATCGTCTAGCTTCACAAGACCTAATATTACTAACTATTATTCATCAACACTAATTCACGTATAGTTTTGGGTCCGAAACTTTACAGTTCCAATAATGCTTGAGAAACTTTGTTCGCAGGTAGTTGCGAGCTCTCTGTACTTCCGAACCCAAGACATCTCTCCAGTGATCAGGTTTATTAACGAAACTCTGAAGAGGATTGACATTATACACCCTCCTTTGACTTCCATAGAGTAAGTTATGAAGTTATTGGAGCTCTGGCCATAATTTATGGAGGCATACCACTGTTAAATAGTAAAGCCAATACGCAAACTATATTGAATTGAATAATAAGTCCTGTTATCTTAAAGCTTGTATTTGTGTAGATTGTGTAATAGACGTCACGATTTTACAGTTGGTCAGTCGTCCAATTAAAAAAAAACATAAAAATTATACCTATTTTTAAAACAAAATAATTTAATCCTGCATCGGATAAACAAGAAGAAAAACTCACAAAAAACTATCGTTCGGGAATGTGAATTCTCACAGTACATCTTATTACTGAGACCAATTATAAAATTTACGAAAATCAGCAATGGCCGATGCTTAACCTTTTTGATTTAACCGATGTAACCATCAGCCATCTCGTACCTAAAACTATTATTAAATTATAATTTTTATAAATCTAAACTTAAATAGTTCAAACAACTTAACTTAAAATGCTAATATATATGTATACGCCTTATGGTATGGTGGTATGCTCTGGATTAAATAATCTTTTGAGTCTAGTCTAAGTAGTTCTTTAGAGTCTATTGATACACATATTATGTTTGCAGCAGCGTGGATAGATGGTTTTGAAGCCATAATACGAAATATAACTGCATCACTGATGTGTAGAATTCGTGGGAGCACAAAGAGCCTCGTAAACACCACATACATATACACCAATATGTCAGATTGTCCACTTCAGAGGCACTGGATATCGCTGTAATGCAGCGATATCCCACCCAGGGCTTCCGGGTGCGGACCCAGGGCTTCCGGACGTGGACATAGACATAAATATAAATATATGAATTAAATATATAAAATTGTAATTTACTAACATAGTTTATAAGTTATTTACTAATATTAATATGGATACATATCCGAAATAAATGAAATAATAACAATAAAAATATTTATATTCGGAAAAATTAATTTGAACAATCGTACATATGTTTATCCTTGTAACAGATTCTCTAAGAACGTCGTCACATGTAAGATTCATGTAACTTTTATTTCAGAACAAGATATTACTATAGAATACCAACATATGGCGTTGGCAAACTCCAAAACCAATTCTTGAGGCCACTTAGTGCGGGAGCGTGGTTGAGTGTGTTACTTGTTGTGACATTATGCTCAATTTTGTTGCTACTCTCGGCTATTTTGGAACAACGATCATTCTCAGGGCAATATGCAGTATTTTCGGTTATTGCGTCGATTTGTCAGCAATGTATGTATTTCAACTTATATATAAGAAAATTCTCGAGGCAAACCAAGGAAGGGATGGGAAGATGTTGTTGCTAGGGACATGATATAGTGTGAGGTCTCTGAAGACGATGTCCGGGACAGGATAAAGTGGCGGACAAAGATAGGGAAAGCTGACCCCACCACCATGTGGGATATATAGCCAGGAAGAGAGAGAGAGAGAGAGATATAAGAAAATTCTCGTATCACAATGTTAGTTACCATACTCCCTCGAAATGGCTTGACCGATTTTTATATGCGTATTCTGATATGATATTATAGGTCTGAGAATCGGCTACTAACGAATTTTCGTACTTCTAAGTGATAAGGGTTGTCCACTAACATTTTGTTTTATTTTTCGATTTTTTTATATAGCATTTAAAAATACATACAATCCTAAATTTTCACCCTTCTATCACCAACCCCAAGTTTTTAATAGCGATTTTAATTTATATGGCAAAACAACGACAGTCAGATTGTATTTATATACTTATATATCATAGTCGTATCCAGGATATATATTAAAACATTTTTTCTACAGATTTCGAAGATAATGACGTTAATACAAGAAGGAGATCATCATTCGGTAAGAATAACTATATCACGTTACAGAGAGGTTAAGTTTGTAAGGTTGTGGGCGTAATCTCTGGATTTACTAAACCGATTTAGAAATTTCTTTGTGTAATAGAAAGCCATGTACTTTGTGAGTATGTAATAAGCTATATAAAATGACTAACAGAATCGGAGCTGCAATGAAAATTATTGCAAAAACGTGGAAAGTCTTGCTAAGTTGCGCAGAACAGATGGTAGATTAATAAAATCAAAAATGTAATTTGTTTTTGGAAACCTTTCACATGTTACGTATTTGATAAATTATATCTTAATTCAGATGATATGATTAAAATTGGAATATATAATATATGCTTAGTTGATATCAAGCTGAACAATTTATTAACCTTATGACATAAATATTTTATTGCAATATGATAAACATACTTTCTTTCAACATCTGAATTCTACATTAGTCTTCGATATGGAATGTACTAGAAACATAAAAATGACTGCATCACTCTTTTAATTTACGATAAATGATCTCACGAAATGAATTACCTCTAAGTGAATTGCCTCTTCATTTCTAATTTTGAATTATTTCTATAAACCATTCGTAATTACAGCTCGCGAAGTTACAATATTTATAACTGGTATCTTCTGCGTCCTCATTTATAACTACTACACGAGCAGCGTAGTCAGCTGGCTGCTAAATGCTCCACCGCCTTCAATTACTTCGCTGGAGGAACTGTTGGAGAGTCCTCTGGAGCTGATCTTTGAGGATATTGGCTATACAAGATCTTGGTTGCAGGTAAAGTCACTAACTAAAAAGTAATAAATTAGCATCGTTAACAATATCTAAAGTATGGAGTCTTTTGACGGTTTAGGTGGTCTAACAGTGTAGTACACCACATTTCCTCCGATAGTCGCAGGTTCAATACTTCGCATAGTATCAACAGTTGTATTCAAGAGTACGCTAAAGCTAGGGGTAAAGCTAAGGCAGTGTGCTTAAACATAAGACCACCGAGATCCTCAATTAAACAAATCAGCACAAAATAACTATTAAATTGTATTAACACTAGCAGAACTATAGGTAAAATTAGTGATTAGTCCATGCGTATGGTATTGAATCAAGGCACTTTGACTTTAGATATCGCCTTAATAAATGAGCACTTCCAAAACGTTGCCATTTTATGGATTATTATAAGAGAAATCTTAATTCGGTAGACAGTTTATGTGATTGTAATTTCTATGCGTATGAATGAACTCATCTCATACCAATAGCTCAATCGAAGTAAGATACAAATCATATCCTGCACTGACTTATTATATTACACTTACAGACTCCTTCATATTACTGCAATAAACGGAACGAAAAAGTAGAAGATCTATTACGCAAGAAGAAAGTATTAAACAAAAAGCAAAGTTCCCCACTGTTGGAACCGGTTGAAAAAGGAATAGCAATGGTCAAATCTGGAGGTAAGTAAACCACGATACTGGATAATGCATCTTATAACCTTAAACATAAGAATGTATATGTAAATTAATTATTTCATTAGGTTACGCTTACCATATGGAAGTGGATAATGCCAATAGATTGATCTCTAAATCTTTTACTCAAACGGAATTGTGCGAACTTGGCTCCTTGCAGTCTATGGATAAAACCAATTTATACGCCTGTTTGCAGAAAGACAGCCCCTACAAAGAATTCTTTGCATGGAGGTAATTAAAAATAAATGATTATTATGACTCTCTGGTTAATATATATGCGGTCGAAGTGGCAACGAGAGACATAATCTCTCTACAATCTTCCAAAAAATCTTGGCCTATCTAGAACTGCAGTAAGTTCTATACTAGAATGTGTATCTAAAGCTGCACTAGTAGGCTCCTATCAGATTTAGCTGGGCAGGGAGAAAAATACGAGTGGTGAGGGTGACTGTTGGCCTACCTCAGCAAGGAGCCCCTTAAACCTACACCCGGATCACAAGTCTCGGGAAGTTTCCTTACTTGGAGTTTCTCTCTCTGCCATACACAAGACATACGACCCGGCACCCGCACGGAGAATCCAAGGAATGCTAAGTTAGACTCTTATTTGGTTCAAACTTCAACGATTTCAAAAAAAATCGCATTATGCCATCCAATGAGAATAAATTAATAAATTACAAGAATTTAATATTATTCACATCATTTCATTAATAGCGAAAAATAAGTAGCAAAGCAAAAATTTTAGTAAAGCAAATTTATTACATTCAAGTAATTTATGACTACAGAAGTCTATCATACTAGCATTAGGTTTTTGTATGAATTTGTAGACGTTTTTCATCATTACATAGTAAAAAACAAAGTCGCTGTCGCTGTCTGTCCGGCCCTATGTATGCTTAAATCTTTAAAATTACGTAACGGATTTTGAAGCGATTTTTTTAAATAGATAGAGTGATTCAAGAGGAATGTTTATATGTACACCCGGGGAAAGCCGGGTCATGTAGCTATCTATTAAAAATTTCGTGTCCATTCTTTGATCATTCTAGAATTATTTTTATTTTTTTTATTTATTTATTTGAGCTACCAACAAGACATACACTATGAGGTTACAATTATTATAACTTGCGAAGAGTTCAGGTATATAGTGTTGACTTAATTACTGGTTTATTATGTCTACAATAATTGATAGAGACAGCAAAAAAAATAAAATGATAATATCTTTATTCATGTAGGTATAGCTATTACAGACTCTTCATCATCATCATCATCATCGCAGCCCGGAAGACGTCCACTGCTGGACAGACTCTTATGTTATGTCAAATATACCGTCAGTTCAGAATGCTTTATTTTCCGTAAACCCTGAGAAAAAAACTGGCTGTGTCCATTGTTTCGTGCATAAAATTTAAAGATTAAGTATGCTGATATATAAGCTATATTATTGTAAAGTTTCATTAAAACGCATTCAGTAGTTTTAGCGTAAAAGAGTAATAAACATCCATCCCCCATCCACACTTCCGCGTTTATAATATTAGTAAAATGATAGGAGATTCACGTAAAAGTGTGGAAATTGTGTAACTAATTCAATATAATCACATATTATGAGATATAGTAAGTATATAGATAAAAAATATGATTATATGTATTGTTCTTCTGATGTATAAGCTATATTATTGTAAAATTTCATCAAAATCTTTTTTTTTTTTACTACTCTAGTCCTGTTGGCCTTTACAGCTTGACCGGACGATACCAAAATTCGTTCAGTAGTTTTACATGACAGAGTATCAAACATCCATCCATCGTATGGATGGATTTTGGATGAAATTTACAACTTATGTATTATTCTGTTAAAATCCAAGAAGTTTTTGCGTGTAAGAGTGACAAACATCCATGCATCTATCCAAACTTCCGCGTTTATGATATTGACGACCTCGGCGGTCTAGCGGGCTAGCACACCGCTTTACGGCCGAAGGTCGCGGGTTCGATTCCCCGCACGGCCCAACCATTTGTATTCATGAATATGATTGTTTGTATCGGTCTGCGTTTTTTCTATGTATAATATGTATGTATTTACAAAAAATCTATGTATATGTATCAGTTATCTAGTATGCATAACACAAGCTTTAGCTAGCTTAAGTTGGGTCTAGATGGCGCTGTGTGAATTGTCCTGAGATTATTATTATTATTATTTTTATATATTCTCTCGCTTTTAGCTGGTTTTTTTTTTTAATAAAGTGTATAAATATTCCTGTTTATAACATGATTTCAGTGTCGCTAGATTGTTAGAACGCGGGATAGTTTCATGCATACAACGGCGCACTCGTTCTCAAGAGGTGAAATGTGAGGGTAGTTCACCCAGAGCCTTGGCATTGGGTGGAGCTGCTCCTGCTTTCTTATTACTGGCCTTTGGATACTTGCTAGCTACTGTAATAATGTTGCTAGAAAGGTATGTAACGTGGAAAGTTAACAAACGCTGGCGGTCGATCGGTAACACGTAATACTATCGAGGTGCATGAGGTGTGCGGAGCGCGGTGCTCGATTTTGAAATAAACTACTATATATATATTTATATATATATATATATATATACATGACTAAGATAGTACATATACAATGTAATATAGGATATTAAAAGGCGAAAAAATTATAAAAAATTTGTACATCTACGGAATGAGCGGTAAATTAAAAATAATTATGACTATTCAAAAGTATTTGAATAAAGGAGTTTCTAGTATGTTATCCTGAGCTATTACAATGTAAAAATTGTTGTATACTATACTGGCTAAGCAGAAGTGTATTTTATATTCTAAATAGAATAAAATAGAATAGAATAGAATATAATTTATTCAAATAAACTTAATTTAAGCACTTTTGAATAGTCATAACAATTTGTTTTTATCTACCGCTCGTTCGGAAGCTGTCTCATCACAAGAAGAACGAGCAAGAAACTTGTGTGTTGCTCTTTTAAATAATCCTTGTAAGTTTACATTTACAAGTCGAAACGTGTGAATACGAATTACCAACCAGCACTAATTTGTTTGGGTCAAATATAAAGATACAATAAGATTGAATCAGACGTAGTGATAAGAGCAGACCAGTCCGTAGGGACTGGTCTGCTCTTATCACCCGAATTTTCGGGAACGACCACTAAATAATAATTTATATTTATCTTTCATTGTACATTTAGTTTATACTTCAACAATGTCTTGAATCGTTCCTAATATATGTTATCCTCCGTATAATATGTATTTTTATATATTTTCTATTTACCAATATACAGATAAAATAAATATATAACGAATTATTATTAAAAAATATTTTTTTCTTGCTTAACACTCTAGCTAACCGGCCCGGCTATATTGCTGAATTAAAATCTGTTACGTAGTTTAAAAGATCTAAGCGAACAGACAGCTGACTTTTTTTATATTATGTAAAGATTGTATATGAACTAATGAATATGAACACTAGGTATCCAGCAAAATGAGGGTATGTAAATATTGCATTCATGACACTAAAATTTAGATTAATACCCTATTTAGACTCTAAATGTTAGTGGATGGGATAGGATAATATAATATTAGTCTAAATAGGATATTAGTCTAAATTTTAGTGTATACCCCAATAGGGTAGTTAGGGCTATTATCGACTATTGAGGACATGAAGACTATTTAAAAGTTTATTTGAATAAAGGTTTTTCTATTCAATTATCCGTCAATAGTCAACAATGGTCCTAACTAATACCCTATTGGGGTATACCCTAACATTTAGGGTATACCCCATCACCAAAAGCCGGACCGCAATTTATCACAAAATATCAAAAGCAACATTGCCAATAACACTATCCGTCGTCCACATACGAATGACATAAATCAATTTACAGGACATAATTTATTGGTCGTTCCTGAAAATTAAATACAGGAATCACTGAAAAGTAATATTCCGCATGAAAATTATTTTCGACTTGCTGTTCGCCGCGACGTCATCCGCGTGGAATTTAACTTTCATTTTCTAAAATAAAAGTAGCCTAAGTTACTCCTTATTACATCAGCTACCTGCCAAAAAAATTCCCGTCTAATCGGTCCAGCCATTTCAAAGATTACCCTGAACAAGCAGACATTTTTATATATAGGACATCTTATATCATCATTACATAGTAGAAAATGAAGTCGCGGTTTCTATCTGTCCGTCTCTATGTATGCTTAAAACTACGCAACGGATTTTGATAGGCGGTTTTTTTAGTAGATAAAGTAATTCTAGAGGAAGGTTTATATATATAACTAGCTGTACCCGCGACTTCTTCCGCAAGGAATTTTATTTTATTTTTCTAAAATAAAAGTAGCCTAAGTTATTCTTTATTACATTAGCTACCTGCCAACAAAAGTGCAGTTAAAATCGGTCCAGCCATTTCAAAGATTAGTCGGAACAAACAGACAGACAAACAAAAATTGTAAAAAAAATATTTTGGTGTATGTACCGTATTTATATTCATATGCATGTAGTATAAAACGGTTATTTATATGTATAGATGTATAGCTTATACAGTATCTTTTTGGTTTCCACGCTCCCAGCCCCCAAGATACAGATCTGACCTAGTTTGGGGACTACAGATAATATAAATAAAATATTGTATTATACTAAATATGTAAATGTTAATCTATATAAACAATTAAATAGTAAATTCAACCAAGTAGAAAGGACTAGAAATTCTACAGCGCTTTGCTATTGAAAATTATTTCAAATACAATTTAATAAGGTCTCTTCCTAATTGACAATACTGTTGTTATATTTACAGGCTTGTACAAAGAACAAAGGAACGAGTGGAGGTTGGGAAATGGTTAAATGGTGAAAAGAGAAAATGTTATTAATATACATAATATTTACTACTAAATTAGGAAAATTAATCTAATATATAAAATATTTACAATAATGTAGAAGAACACTCGAAAAAAAATTCGAATAAATGACAACCAAAGTGTAGTTAATAAACAATAAAATATTTATTAAAATAGTGATGTATAAACGAGTTGCAAGTAAAGTAGTTTAAAATTTATTTTTAATTGTATAAAATTATAAAGTTTAATAGTTAATTTTTTTAGCAAATATATTTGTAGTTAAATATTGTTAATGTAACTAAAACATTGTAATTTATCACTAAAATTTGTTTATTTCTAGATTAATTCAACTGACTTAGTTGAGTTGTATATTTTATGGAATTAGATGTTAATTTGAGGACGTCCATATCATTAAATAAATAAATAAATTACCCTGGACAGTTAACACAGTGCCATCTATAGTGCCACGATAAGCAAAGCTTGTGTTATAGGTACTATACATATGATATAAAAACTATAATGTTTTTCCTGTAACTACACATACAAAGTACTTAAAATACATATACAATATACTTAGAAAACACCCAGACCGATACAAACAATAATACTCAGGAATACAAATGTTTGCACCGTGCGAGGAATCGAACCTACGACCATCGGGGCTTAGGAATGATCCAAGATCCTCAACTAACATAAGAGAGCACACACTCAATAAAGATGTTGTAGAAATATGTAGTAAAACTATTTATGACTGGAAAAATGTATTTAATGCTAAGATGGTAGAGAGTGAAGTGACAATTATATAATTTTGTTTTTATAGTTTTGATTAAAAAATACAAGAAAACTTTAATTATACTAGATGAAAACCCGGCTTCGCTCGAGTGAAATGTGGGTAGATATTTCTTATTATTACATAAGTCACAGATCTTTGTGATGGATTTTTTGGCGCGAACGAACGCGATCTGTTGATTGGCGAGGCGTATCTAAGAGCTAATATGAAATAGAACGTTAGATAGTGAAATGAAAAGATGGCGACTGCGGTTTGTTTGTCATTGTTATTGGAATTTAACGAAATACTCCATAATCCGAATTTTGCGGATATATGTTGTCGACTCGAATTGAATATTTTTTTATGTTTTGTTATTTATATAAGATTTCGATCGAGTCTACCGTACGACTTGACGAAATTATTAATATAGATTAATATCAAAAGAGTTTCTCAACATATCCTCCCGTTATCAAAACATATATATATATATATATATATAACAAAATACAACCTAACAAAAGAGCTATATGTAGTCTATACCATAGAGTTACTATTTACAGTTTTATGTATATTTCAATAAAAAATTGTAGTAATAATAATAATAATAATATAATAATAATCTTAGGACAATTCACACAGCGCCATCTAGACCCAAGTTAAGCTAGCTAAAGCTTGTGTTATGGGTCCTAGATAACTGATACAAATACATAGATAATTTTGTTTTTTTTTAGTAAATACATACATATTATACATAGAAAATACCCAGACCGATACAAACAATCATACTCATGAATACAAATGTTTGTGCCGTGCGAGGAATCGAACCCGCGACCATCGATCGTAAAGCGGTGTGCTAGACCGCTAGACCACCGAGGTCGTCATAATTAACCCTAAGTAATAATTAACCCTTTACAATATAATGAAAAATCCTGAAAAGGCAGTTTGGTTTTGGTTCAGTTCTATTCATGATACAAACAAATATATTTTCAATATAAATTTACATATCAAAGAGTTAACCCCAGTATTGTATCAGCGCGAGCGGTTATAATATAGTTTCGTAATTGCTTCTCGCATGGACGGACATGTGAAAAGCTGTATATATTGAGTAATTATAAGTACGACGACCTCGGTGGTCTAGCGGTCTAACACACCGCTTTACAACCGATGGTCGCGGGTTCGATTCCTCGCACGGCACAAACATTTGTATTCATGAGTATGATTGTTTGTATCGGTCTGGGTGTCTTCTATGTATAATATGTATGTATTTACAAACAAAATATCTATATATATGTATTAGTTATCTAGTATCCATAACATAAGCTTTATCTAGCTTAACTTGGGTCTAGATGGCGCTGTGTGAATTGTCCTAAGATTATTATTATTATTTGATTTATTTCTATATTTGAGTATATCTGGCAAAAGCATTGGTGGTGTAATGGTTTAGTATACTGCCTTACTTCTGACGGTTGTGGGTTTGATTCTTCGCATCGTACAAACTCGAGAATATTATTTTGTATTAGTGCAGTTGGTTTCAATATATAATATTTATTTACAAAAAAAAATGTATCTCAGTATTTATGTCAGTATAATATCCGTAACTCAAGCTCTGCTTAGCTTGGTACTAGCTCAATATGGTGTTCTCCAAATGACGACAAATTTAAACAAACAACTATAATTTTCAAATCACGTCCTCAATTCATAGCAACTCATTTCTGCTATTTATTACATTATTGATAGAAATATTGAGTGGATTACATATATAGTAGTAAATATAATTTACTTCGTTCTGATCGCAGTTGCACGTTACATACAAACTGTTACTTAGCAACAACACTTATTTTAAATGTGATGGATACTTTTTCTACTTCAATCAATGTGCCTAATACGGTCCCTTAATCCATTACATTTAAGACATTCAACATCTCTACATTTAAGAATAGAATATAGAATAGAATAGAAAATCATTAATTCAAATAAACTTAATTTAAGCACTTTTGAATAGTCATAACAATTTGTTTTTTATCTACCACTCGTTCGGAAAGCTGTCTCATCACAAGAAGAACGAGCAAGAAACTTGTGTGTTGCTCTTTTAAATAATCCTTGTAAGTTTACATTTACAAGTCGAAACGTGTGAATACAAACTACCAACAAGCACTAATTTTTTGGGTCAAATATAATCATGCAATAAGATTAAATCAGTCGTAGTGATAAGAGCAGACCAGTCCCTACAAGCAGCACTCGTTCACGAGTATGACGGATGAGCCAGCCATCACTGCGCTCGACCATATTTTAGGGAGCCTATTGACCCGGCCCACCACGCCGCCACATGTCTGGACATTTTAGTGAGCATGACTACTCATTCCACACGACCACGTCACAGCTACAAAAATTACTATATGGTAGTTACAGTATTCGCACTTTACATAAGGATGCATGCGGCAATCAATACAAAAGCCGTTACGCTATCATATATCAAGAAAACAGTATGTATTATTAAATAACATACATAATATAAAACAATATACAGAAGAGTAAACAATAGAACTACTAGCAAAAAACATATCCAAAATTAAATCTGTTAAAATACTAATAATTTCTGTTAGACCTATACCGCCCCTGATAGAGATATTGAGTGGATTACATATATAGTAGTAAATATAATTTACTTTCGTTCCGATTGCAGTTGCACGTTACATACAAACTGTTACTTAGCAACAATACTTATTTTAAATGTGATGGATTATACTTTTTCTACTTCAATCAATGTGTTTTTTTTTTTATTTATTATTTATTAGAAACCAACAGCGTTACAATTTCATTTACATTAACGTATGTTGTAAAATTAAAGCTACTATAGGTTTCACTTAATCAGTGGGGATCAATGGCGTAGTAGCCATTTTTAGTTCGAAAAACGGATTTAGATGGCGTCATTGGTATCGAATGGAATTCAACATTGTTTTGTAATCGTTTAAAACCCAAAACTATGTTTTTAAAAAGGTTTAATCTATTTTTAAAAAGTCATATATAGATGTTAAAATGAAATAATGCGTTTCGAAAAGTAATTTTCATATATTTACTCATTTTGTTGTTGCCCTGTATTTGTTTACAATTTAATCATTGCTAATTGGGGCTTATTGTTTCCAAAATACTTTCATAGATGGCGCTGTTTTCATTTGTTTCACCGTATTTTAAATGTTTATTTTATATTTTCAAATAATAAGTACTTACTATATTATTATGATAAATTAAACATAAAAAAAGTTTAAGTAAATATAAAACAGCTAAACAAGAAAACCATATTATTCCAGTAATACTTATTTAGAAAGTGTTGCCATATTAAAAATAAATGCATAGATTTATCGATTTTTTCGAATAATCGATAACAGGATATTACAACGCATTATTCGATGGTGCTTTTAATTAGTCTTTGCAAACAGTAAAATTTCATCATTTTGTATTATACTCTTATTTGGAACGAATTGCAATGCATAATTTTTACTCGACGACGGTAAAATAGAGAGATTTTGACAGGTATGCAAGTACTATATATTTATCTGTTCGCTCATAACTTCGAAACTTGAAGAGGGAAATATTAATTAGATTGATCTGATATAAGTGTACTCTATTATATCAACCTCCACGCGGTCACCCTGGTAATTATAGCAATTAATGACATTAGTGACATAGTTCTTCTATTAAAAAAAAATACCTACTTATTGTAATTTAATGAATGAGAATTGAATGTGGTATAGAGTATATAAGGTCAGCTATACCTTTATGAAACCTCAATAAACAAGTGTTATATGGTATCTAAATTACTGACATTGATAGCTAAATATGAGGATCCTCGAATTTTTTAAAATACTCATAAGAAACTTTACAAATACTCGAATTTTGCTTTTGTAGAAGGATATTTTCAACCTTACTAAATTGTACAAGGTTTTGAAACGATAATCATTCATAATACTATGATATATTACTGATCCTAGTACCTACTATTCATGATAATTAGTTTTTTAATATCTCCATTCGAGGGTAGGTTATTCATAATTTATATTATTAGATTTCATCACAAATAAAAATATCGATTTTAAATCGTAGGTTGGTCCATATTTTTTTATTATATCGAAATGACAACGAGTACTGGCAACATACATGAAATATTAAAAATATAAAATATAGGAATAAAAGAATAGGATAAACGACTTTAAGTCAAATGCTTAAAACATATTTTCACTAGCATTGGATTTTTTCTCTTTTTTCA